CTGGAATATGGATGAGTGTACAGATCACGGGTTGGCAAACTTTTTCTGTAAAGATCCTAATAATAAATATTTTCGACTTTATGAGCCACATAAGGTCTCTGTTGCATATTTTTCTTTGCCTTTTTTTAAAAATGTAAAAATCATTTTTAGCTCAAGAGTAGTACAAAATAGGCCACACACAGGATTTGGCCTAAGGGCTATAGTCTGAATAGAGTTCACAAACAGATCCTCACATATAAGGTAATTAATTTTAAACAAATGTGTCAAGATAATTTGATGAGGAAAGAACAGTCCTTTCACCAAATGATGCTGCATCAATTGGATATCCACAGGGAAAAAAATTAACCTCAATTCTTACCTAACGGTATACACAAAAATTAGTTCAAAAGGGCTCACACCCCATATAACACTTCTAAAAGAAAATTTCCATGGTCTTGGAATAGGCATAGGTTTCTTACACAGAATACAAAAACCATGAACCATAAAAGAAAAAACTTGATAAACTGGACTCCATCAAAATTAGAATTCTTACAACTCAATAATAAGATGACAAACCACCCAGTTTAAAAATGAACAAAAAAAGGGCCAGCCTGGTGTCGTAGTGGTTAAGTTCACACACTCCACTTCAGCAGCCCGAGGTTCGTCAGTTCAGATCCAGGGCACAGACCTGTGCACCACTTATCAAACCATGCTGTGGCAGGTGTCCCACAAAGTAGAGGAAGATGAGCACAAATGTTAGCTCAGGGCCAATCTTCCTCAGCAAAAAGAGGATTGGCAGTGGATGTTAGCTCAGGGTTAATCTTCCTTCAAAAAAACAAAAAAAGACTAAAGATTTAAGCAGACACTTTAAAAAGGAAGATACTCCAATGGCCAATAAGCATATGAAAAGATGCTCAACATCACGAGTTATTAGGGAAATACGAATTAAAACCATGAGATACCATGACACACCTACCAGAATATCTAAAATAAAAAGACTGACCATATGAGTGTTGGCAAGGATGTGGCAGAAATAGAACTCTCACACATTGCTGTGGGAGTGTAAAACAGGACAAACAGTTTGGCAGTTGCTTAAAAAGTTCAACACGTATCTACCACGTACTCAGCAATTCTGCTCATCCATATTTACCCAAGAAAAATAGAAACATGTCCACACAAAGACTTGTACACAGACGTTCACTACAGCTTTATTTATCATAGCCCAAACCTAGGAACAAGCCCAATGCCATAGATATGTGAATGGATAAACAAATTCCAGTACTTGGCAACAAAAAGGAACAAATTACTGCCATGCAGCACATGGATAAATCTGACATAAGGCTGAGTGAAAGAAGCCAGATATCAAAAAGTATATACCCTATGATTTCATTTCTGTAAAATTCTAGAAAAATCCATATAGTGACAGAAGGTAGATCAGTGGTCGGCTGGTGTGGGTATGGGTGAGGGAGAAGAACTGCAGGGAGCACATGCATATTTCTGGAGATGAGGGAAATGTTCTCTATTTTGATTGGGGTAGTGGTTACATGGATATATATAACTGACAAAATTCAATCAAGTTTATTTTTAAAAAAATACCACTATGGGGCCGGCCCCGTGGCTGAGTGGTTAAGTTTGCGCACTCTGCTTTGGTGGCCCAGGTTTTCACGGGTTCAGATCCTGGGCGTGGACATGGCACCACTCATCAAGCCATGCTGAGGGGGCATCCCACATGCCACAACTAGAAGGACTCACAACTAAAAAACATACAACTATGTACCAGGGGGCTTTGGGGAGAAAAAGGAAGAAAAAAACAACACCATGAAATAGTACAGCTATAATTTCTATTTTACCTGTAAGAAAACAGAGCACTGGGGTTAAAACACCCATGTTACTTTCTTCATAGAAAAACTGTCACCTCTAACTCAAAAAGTATGGGGAAACGCTTTCAGGCTTCATATGATTGTATGATATTAGTTTTTGGTTCTCAGATAATCAATAAATTTATATGAACTCATTGCTCCAAGAACACAGCAATTTCAAGAATTAAACATCAAATCAGCTGTCTAGATCTTTGTTTTGCTTGCATTCTTTCAAGTAGTCTGAGGTAATTTTACAAATAGCATTTTATTTTCCTAATAATTTGCATTGAAAGAATTCTGAATAGTACTAGTGGCATTGTTTATTTCATTTTTTGTCCAAAAATATAATTTTTAGTGATGTAAAAGTTAATCATAGAATATGCAAATCAAATCCAAAAATTCTGTATTAACATGTGAATAAACAAAAATATTTTCCCTTTCAAAAAAAACAAGAAAGAAAACCAAAGCTCTGAGAGACTAAGTAACTCATCCAAGAGCCAAGATTCAAACCCCAGTAGTTTTACTCTAAAGCTCACATTCTTAGCCACTATTTCATTCTATCTCTATAAAAGTGGAATATATCGATAATCTCTTTTCTTCTGGACACTATATATGTATTTATGAACATGTAATATTTTATAATCAGAAAAAAGATATATATTTAAAAAGACAGAAACTCTTCAGGACCTCCCTCCCAGATGACTTTCGATCCATTAACCAGAACATGTTGAATGTATCAGCTAATCTTAATCAAGTCATTCACCTTTATTATCTTCTACTTCATATTCTTCATCTTGTTCATAAATTAACATGTACAACTTTGTCAAAACTCTTGCAGGGGGCCAGCCCGGTGGCGCAGCGGTTAAGTATGCACGTTCCACTTTGGCAGCCCAGGGTTCGCTGGTTCGAATCCTGAGTGCGGACATGGTACCTCTTGGCAAGCCATGCTGTGGCAGGCGTCCCACATATAAAGTAGAGGAAGATGGGCACGGATGTTAGCTCACAGCCAGTCTTCCTTAGCCAAAAGAGGAGGACTGGCAGCAGATGTTAGCTCAGGGCTAATCTTTCTCAAAAAAAAAAAAAGTCTTGCAGAAAATCATACATACTATAGCTATAGCATTATTCTGATCCACCTATCTAATAACTCTATAAAGGAAATAAACTTGTAACAAATACATGCTAGTTCCCAGAGACCACAACTTCCTCTTCTGTATTCACAAACTATCCCTTTAATAACCTGGTCTAGAATTTTGCCCAGAATCTACATCAACTAACTCCTAGATTATCCAAAGATTACAAACAGAAGTTCAGCAACTGTTAAAGCAAGTTCTCCTACTGCAGTGAGATACAGTTCACCAGAGAGGGGAGACCCTAACCTCATTTAGAGTAGTAAGGCCCTTTTGTATAATTCCCCTATGTATTCTGCACTTCAGTTTCCTACCAGCAATATCTACTTGGCCCTTTCCAGAGTGGAAGTCATTCTTCTTGACCAAGAAGACAGAAATAAGAGGAGCTAACACATTCTACTTCCTATAATCTGTTCATGTTTCCTCATCCACCCTAGCAGCAAGACTATACCTGCTCTAAACATAGCTAAAAAGTCTTTTTTAAAAAATGATAACTAGTATTTTCTGAAGGTCTCAAATAACTCAGATTTCTAGTTTCTGAAGCTATTCTTGTGGGTTCTGTCACTCTTCATCCTTGGTTTATGTCCTGCTTTTTATCTTCATAATTTATAATTGGACAGCTGCTTTTGCCCTTGAGAATACATCCCAATTAGTTTAAAAAGAGAAACTACATACTTGGCCTAATTACCCTGACATTGCTTAAAATGTGTCTGGAACTCTACCAAAAATTCCTTTCAGAAGTGACTTCCCTCCCAAAATCAGCTGTATTACTTTATAGTGACATCTCCTCTCTGAGTGAAATATTGCCCAGCTTGATCACCTATTATTGATAATAATAATAGTGAAAATTTCCTGGGTATGTACTATGTGACAAGCACTACGTTAAGGAGCTTTCCATACAATACTTTCTGATTTAATCTTTACAACTCTAATGAGGACACACCATCACTATCCAATGTTACTCTTAAGGTAGCAAAGACCTAAGTAACCTGACTAAGGCCACATAGATACTAAATAATAAAGCTATATTTTGAGTCCAAATCCATCTGAGTTAAAAACAAACAAAAATTCAAGTTCCTTCTACTGTACCTCCTAGCCATTCACATATAGGCTACTTTTGAAAGAGAGGAGAGTAAGATGTTTTAGTTTAAGTTCAGTGACTTATAAAATGAAGTAATTTTAAAAATAAACGTATCAGAATTTATAAATCAAATATCTGAGAATCATTCTAAAGTAATCACCCTGAGAAGCTTCAAAATTTGGGAAATTTTCTTATGGAAGAGTTTTTACAACTTTTTACCAGTCTTTTAAATATCTTCAATACTGGCAGATATTTATTTTTGAGGATAATTTCTATTTTGGAAACAGCTTGGTTATTTGAAACCAAGTCTTGTAAAGAAGCAACAGTGATTTAGGGTTGCACACTATCTGAGTACAGTCACGCATTGCTAAACGATGAGGATTTGTTCTGAGAAACACATTGTTAGGGGATTTTATCGTTGTGTAAACATCACAGTCTACTTACACAAACCCAGATGGTATAGCCTCCTATACACCTAGGTCACATGGTACTAATCTTACAGGACCACTGTCATATATATGGTCCATCACTGACTAAAATGACCATGCGACGCATGACTGTACTTCAGAACATGGCTTTGGAGTATGATAATCCTAAATTTGAGTCAGAGCTCTATCACTCCAACTTCTACCAAATTACTTAAATTCTCTGAGACCTAGTTCCCTCATCTGAAAAACAAGAAAGGTATCATCTATCTCACAAGATTAAATGGACTATCATATATATAGCTTCTGGCACATATAATATATATGAATAGTAAATAATAAACATTTGTTCTCTCCTTCTCTTCTCCACTGTTATTTTAATCATTATTTCAAACTGTGAACCACATGTGATAAATCTGTCACTTCAGAAAGCAAGTGTTTTTTCAATTTATCCATTTCTCAACTATTTTTTGCTCTAAATTATATGAAACAGTATTTTGACATAAGTAGAAGCTGATGGGCAACTTACCTGTGGAAACCATCTTTCAGAACTTCTTGCCTCAAAATAATATCAGAACAAGTAGCCCTTATGCCTATAAGAACCAAAAGATTTTTTTAAAATAAGCACTCAATGAAATAATATTTAAATAATTAGAAAATAATTGTCTGAATAGGCTTTACTCGCCTGGAAAATCTAATCAACCTGAAAATAAAAAATTTTAAAACTTAAGCAATTTGAGCTACATATAAATCTACTTTTAGTATAGCAGAGGGGTTAAGTACATTGACTTTGGAGTTAGAGTGCCTAGTTTCAAACCCCAGTCTGTCAGCTAATAGCTGTGTGACTGTGGGCAAGACAGTTTATCTCTCTGCTAGTTGTCATGAGAATTTAATATGTGTAACTTAGCGCACGTAAAAGCACTTAGAACAGGGCCTACCACATAGTAAGTGCTCTATATAAGTTTTTGATGTTAATATTACTTTATTCAGGAGATCCCAGGACACTGAAAAGAACAGAACGGCTGAAGAGTCAGGAAATCTCAGTTTTAACCCTAGCTTACTGCCACTGTGTATCAGATACATACTAGCGACTTCTGTATTCTACCATCCACACCTATAAAATGGAGAAGATGGGACATTTACGCCTTGTGGAGATGCTGAGAGAGTTAAAAAAACAAAAAACTGGAGGCTTTTCAAAGGTTCAAAGGGTTCCTTTATAAACTTAGAATAACCAGAAATCTCACTATGTTGACTCCATGCAGAATTCAGACATTGAAACTATTACTCCATGTCAGCATCACAGAATTAAAAATTCAGTTACTAATGATTACCAACTCTGCCAGGCACCCTGCTGGGGAACTTTACTCCATCTTCAAAAGCTGAAAGTTGTGTGGGAAGAACATTAAAGCACAAAGAAAACTACATACCATTCTATGTTGCTAAGTCTATTAGATGCAGTCCTGAAAAGATACATGAAAAAAAAATGGAGACGAAAACATTTGAAATATACAAGGAAAGGAAGGAAAAAAGTACGGGGGGGTAAAAACATTAAATAATATCTATTTGACAGATTCTCCAGGTAGGGCTTTCACTTGTGTTTTAACTTTCACAATCTAGCAAAATAGGCAGGCAAAATCACTGCAATTTGTACACAGGAGGAAACTACAACTTATAAACAGTTACTATCTGGCTCTGGGTCACACAACCAAGTAAGTGACTGATTTCAAGCAAGATCTGCCCGACTTTTAAAGCCGAAAGTTTTTCTATTCTCCTAGCTATTTAAATAAACACTTATTTGCTTTGGAGAAGCATATATAATCTTTTCCGAAACAAATAACTTAGAGTATCTCTTGTACAAATCCAGGCGTGTCTTCATCGTGTTAAATTTCAATGGGGGTGGGGTAGAGAGTAAGGGTTTCTATCCATTCCTAAATTAAATTTGATAAAAAGGGTCAGATTAATAGGCGTAAATTCTATCAGGATATACACTAGAGAGTAGTAAATCACATTCATCTTGGGATGGTAGAAAGGCTAATTTATAAACAGTATAGCAAATACCAGATTATGATTTTTAAGGCAAAAGTACCATTTCAAAACGAATTAGTTGTACCTAAATTCATCTCCAAGATTTTCCTCTTGCATACGACTTTTTTGAGTTATTGTGGCCTGAACTGGCTCGAAATTGACCCCTTTTTAATCATAAATGCCAGTAGAAATCTTTAGAGATCACCAAGTCCAGTCATTTATTTTGGCCTCATAATCCTTTCTTCAAATAAATCTGGAAACCTAATATGTAAACGCTGAAAAGCAGACGGCACTGATTGTCAGATACGAGTCTAAGATCTTCATTTCACAGATGGAGAAACTCACCTGGTTTGTACTGACTTCCCTTTCCCTATCAAACATTATCGCTGTTTTGTAATTACTACTGCACGTATCCGCCTCCACGAGGGCTGAGCACCTAGCGCAGCACTCCGGTCCACGGACTCGAGCTCAAACAAATCAATCCACTCCTTGCGCAGCCGGGAGTCATACAGAAACCCCAGCCCAATCCAGTCTATTATCAAAAACGTTAGTAAAACAAAACTAGTTGTCTTCTCCCCTCACGCCCCCCGAGTCTCTTTATTCTGGATTGGGATTCTCAACCCTCACAGGGCACTGAGGCCTTGCAGGCCCCTAGGTGGTCAGCAGCTTCATACATCCCAAGACGCCTCATGGCTGCGCCTCCTTTACAATGTTTTACTAAAGCGCGGCCAGTCCCGCCCCTGAACGACAAGGTCCGACTCTCCAGAAACCCAGGAGCGGCCACAGAGCAATGCAGGGGGTCGTGGGGAGAAGGAGGCACATGGCTTTTGTGTTTACCCTCTTCAAGCTCACCCTACAGTTCTAGGCGCGCGCGCCGGGGTACAGTGAAGCACCTCTGCAAGCCGCGGAGAGGACCCGGGAGCCTGGACTGTTCCCCAGCCTGTGGGCCCCCAAACCCCGCCCTCACTCCCGCAGCCCCGCCCCCCTTTACCGGCGTCGGTCGAGTCGGAGGGGCAGGCGGTGGGGGGCGTGCGTGTGAGCCCAGCCACCTGCCAGAGGAGCAGCCAGGCGACCGCCCGGAGGGTCACGGCCCGGGCAGCCAGGACGCCGGAGAACGCGCGCCACACAGGAGCGCGCGGGGACGAAACGGGGACGGAGGAGCGTGCACCCGCCTCACGCCGCTCCTACAGCGCGCTGCCACGGAGTTTGCGACCAGGACGGAAGACTCGGTGCGCGCACGCCGGCGGCCCCACGGTTCCCCCGCTCCCCGCAGCCCCGGCCCCCGAAAGTTCCGGCGTCGCGGGAGGCAGCCGCCCCACCCCCTCGTTAGCTCCCGTCGCTGCCCCGCCCCTCGCCGTCCCGCTCGGGGGCGGGGCGAGGGGCGACGCAAGCGCCGTGGCGTGCGCCGGGGCTGTTGCTGTGGGGACGGCTCCGTGGGCCGCCAGCCCGGCCCTGACCCCAGCATGCCGTCCTGGGAGCCCGCCTCCCGAGCTCCCGGCCTCCAGCTCCACTTACAGGTATTCGCGGATCTGGGTCTCCTGCCAGGGAGTTCACCCCACAGTCGCGTCTGCGGGCTGTGACTGTCGCCTCCTCCTGCCGCGCCAGGCTCCGCCCGGCCTCCGAGTCAGGTTAAGTGCTTCTCAGTGCACGCAGTTGGGTGAAAACAACCCCCTCACGGCGGTTTGAGACGTCGGCCTGCAGGAGAAGATGCGCTTTCTCTACTTCTGTTAGGGTATGAAGGCCAGCCTTGCACTAGTGGGGACGTGAGCAGGCAGAGGATCCTCTACCCGTTGTCAAAATCCTTACAGTTCCAGGTGCTGGGGGGGTGGGGGGGGAGGATGCTTGGCGAGATTATGGCAATCACTGATCCCTGGGGTGATAAGTGTGAATGTCTAGGACGAAGAGTTAGATAAATGTGTCGTCCGTCTTCATGACTTGAATTGAACCTGTAAGTGGGCCTAGAGAGTATCCAATACAGATTGGAGCCGAACCGAGGGCCCTAAGACAGATGTCTCAAACAGGAAAGATGTCCGAAGGTACTATCTAACACTGAACATGTCAGTATAAGCATCCTATTAAGAAATATGGAGATGAATTTTGGAAGAAACACTTAATTGAAACCGGTTGCCTATGGAGAAGGGAATATCAGAGGACAACAGTTTTTTGTTGTAAGCCTCATAGAACTAATTTACATTTTTAGACAGAATACAAACATTAGTAAAAATAGAAGTTAAATTTAAAAAGAAAGAAAAGAGTGTAGTCAAAACACTGCATTACTGAGTATCAATCACATACATCATGCGTGAATACAGCCATTTGCTTGAGTGTGTGGAATTTATATTGTGCTCATTACGATCACCTAGAAAGTTTACTAACAGACAAATTTTAGTGAGGTGAACTGGGAGTGTTAATTGTTACCAAAAAAAATAAATAAGAAGAAAGAGGGAGTGGGGTGGGATCATTGCATCAGATCAGAGGCAGAGCACAGTAATTTGAAAAAACAGTTCTTTATATGTGGTTAATTTCCTAAGAGTAAAAGTTCTCACGTCCAGCAATAAGGGGTGAATAATATATAGATTATGGTATATCCATAGGACAAAACACTTGGCAGTTGTATAAAAATTTGCATTTTAGTAAAACATTTAATGACAAGAACCACATAGGTTGTTAAATTTAAAAGGCAGGTAATAATATGTACAATGTAAAAAAACATGCTGTAGTTTAAAAAATTAAAATATATTCCTAGAAAAAAGATTGGAAGGAATTAGAGTGATTATTTTATGTGTTTCCTCCTGCCTCTCCCCCATCCTCACCCCTAGCTTTCTACAATGAAGGTGTATTAAATAACTATGTTCCTATAGTGATTCTGTAGCAGGACTGAGTTTATGAGGATATTGTCACCCTCTGTTAGTTTCCTCGATATTTGCAAATCTTCCTGAGAATATCATAGTGACATCTAAAGCAGTCCCTATAATTAAGTGTATTTTGGCATTGGTGACAGGGAAGGGAAGAGGGAATAGAAAGTATTAATCTGCAATATAGCTGTGTTTCTTGTAACTGAAAAAACAATCATATAGTGAGACAAATAAGTTGAAATAAAAGCCAGGTAAGCTTTGTTGCCTTGTTTATGTAGAAGCTGATTACTTAGAGGAAGTACAGGGGCTGTGTCTTATAGTAATACATTGAATTAAACAAGTATGTATAGAGTGCCTACTACCTTCCAGGTATTTGTGCTGGACATCGTGGTGAACAATGAATATGTTCCCTGCCCTCATGGAGCATATAGAATAGAAGGGAAAATAAGTAATTACAAAAAGCTCAATGAGTAAAATGATTGGGAAAGTACAAAGGAGACAGATCTGGTCTGGGTGAACCTCTCAAGACATAATGTTTAGGGTTAAAAAATTCTTACTACCTTGACATAGAGGATGCTTGTACATACTTGTTTAATTGGTAAATAAAAAAGATCCTGTAAGTCAATTCTTGGGCTGACTCAGGGGTTCATATACAATCTTTGGTTAAGTGTATAGTACACTGAGGTCCAAACTGAACTACATTTCTAGGCTCATGTGTGAACAAACCTACACCCCTCAATGAACCAGGAATCAAACAGACTAAGGATAACCAAGGCCAAACTGGACTTTCAGGGTAGCTCTCCAAATAGTGAGCTTGATAGGCCGAGCACACATCTTTAGAACTGGACTAGTGCCAGACCTGCTGGGGAGGAGGGGAAGAGGTGGGGGTGGTTTATCCAACACTTAATTTTTTTTCCCCTTTAGCAGGAAGTCACTATATGACTAACACATCTTCATCAGATTTCCTCTGATTTACCCTGAAGTGTATGTAATAATGACATGCACTGCCAAGAAATGTGGAATTCGGTTCCAGCCTCCAGCTATTATCTTAATCTATGAGAATGAAATGAAGGGAAAAAGTCGCCAGCGCATCATGCCAGTCCGAAACTTTTCGAAGTTTTCAGGTACCTCGTGTTTTATCTTGCCTATCTTAGATATTCTCTAAACCACTTAATAAGAATGATTTGAGTCTCATGCATTAGAGTGACGTGGCCTTCAGAGTTAGACAGATCTAGGTTCAAATCATGACTCCATCAGGGTAGATGTGTGACCCTGGCTAAATTGCTTACTCTCAGTGAGCTTCCATTTCCTAACCTATAAAAGGAAATTGATAATCCCACCCTTTCAGAATTGCAGTGTGGGTTAAATAGGATAACATCATTCAATAATATGAATTCCCTTCTCTCCCTCCAAATGTGTTTTTTATTTGTAGTCTTGATATTTTCTTAGTAGCAGTACTGATACCTAAAGCTGTAATACTACTTTCTCTTTTTTGTGTGTGAGGAAGATTATCGCTGAGCTAACATCTGTGCCAGTCTTCCTCTATTTTGTATGTGGGATGCCACCATAGCATGGCTTGACAAGTGGTGCCAGGTCCTTGCCTGGGATCCGAACCTGCACACCCCAGGCTGCCAAAGCTGAGTGCACAAACTTAACCACTATGCAACAGGGCCGGCCCCTACTTTTTCTTCTCAGGCATTCTCTCTAGTTGAAAGTGTTTAACATCTTCTCAAAGTAATTTTAAGTTAAGGAAATAAAAAATACATCCCTCTTGGGGCCAGCCCAGTGGCGCAATGGTTAAGTTCACACCTTCCACTTCGGAGGCCCGGGGTTTGCCGGTTCAGATCCCGGGTGCAGACGTATGCACCGCTTGGCAAGCCATGCTGTGGCAGGCATCCCACATAAAATAGAAGAAGATGGGCACGGACGTTAGCTCAGGGCCAGTCTTCCTCAGCAAAAAGAGGAGGATTGGCAGCAGATGTTAGCTCAGGGCTAATCTTCCTCAAAAAAAATTTAAAAAAATAAAAAAAAATTCCCTCTTTCCCCCACCACACTCAAAGCTTGATGTAAAAGAATAGTTCTACAAAATAATTCATTCCAAAAAAGCCACTTAGCTACTTGGCTATAATGGCAGATAATGCTTTCAGTAGTTTGTGGTGTATATGTTGTGTGTGGCATATAGTTTTGTTCCTCTCTCCTAGACTGCAGCAGAGCCGCTGAACAATTAAAGAATAATCCACGACACAAGAGTTACCTGGAACGAGTATCCCTGAGGCAGCTAGAGAAGTTATTCACTTTTTTACGAGGTTACTTGTGGGGCCAGAGTTTGGCAGAAACAATGGAACAAATTCAACGGGAAACAACCATTGATCCTGAGGAAGACCTGAACAAACTAGATGACAAGGAACTTGCCAAAAGGAAGAGCATCATGGATGAACTTTTTGAGAAAAATCAGAAGAAGAAGGATGATCCAAATTTTGTTTATGACGTTGAAGTTGAGTTCCCACAGGATGAACAACTGCAGTCCTGCGGCTGGGACACGGAGTCAGCTGACGAGTTCTGATATCAAGGACTCAGAAATTCATTGAGCTAGCAGAAAATTCGTGTTTGTGCAAAGAATGTAGATTGGTTCTGGAAAAATCTGTAAAGAACACTAAATGTACGTGTTGGGTCGTATTTGGATTGACCGTGTTACTTTTCAAAACCAAGACATGTAGAACATCTACTATGTAGGTGCATGAGGAATATAGGAAAAACTGAATATAGGAATCTGCCTTTAAGGAGCTTACAATCTAACTGGGAGATAAGCCAAAAACTTCTGAAAAGCTAATTAACAGTATTACGGGCAGCAAAAAGATTAGAGCCAAATGCTTGATAAAGATTTCAGAAGGTCAGAGCCTAGACTACTGTAGGGTGGAATGGTCAGGGAAGACTGTCCCGTAGTGGTGAGATAGGACTTTGCCTGGCCCTTGAAATGGTAGTATTTGCATAGAAGCTTATAGAGGATTCCACATGAGAGAAATTGGGAGGAAAAAAGGGAGGGGGCAGGATTTGGTAAAGAGATAGGAATCAGAACATTTTATTTGAGGAGCAATAAGCAAATTACAGTTTGAGAAGACTGGAGGACCTGGTTGGTTACCAGGGGCTTATCCCTTCTGCCTTATGTCTTTGTCTGTATTTGACTGTGGAGTAGAAGTGTGCCCCTGCAGAATGCCCTGCAGCTGCAAGTGTGTGGCATTTGATGGACAGCGGGGGAAGGCTGCCCCTCTGGTATCAGGAAGTATATAGGAAAGACGTTCCGAAACCCCGAACCTCTTCCCATAAATAAGAGTTTTGTTTGTCAAATGGGAAACCTACCCATAATAAATGAAGACGAGATACTGCCAGTTTAGGCCTATTCATGAGGTTGGATCTACAAAGAGAAGATCTTTGTTGAGTAAGGTTATATGTGTACAGATACATCTTTCTTCATGTTAGAATATTATTTAATTGGTAGAAATCCTACTTTTCTGCAAGGAAATTATTACTCATTAAATAAAACTAAAAATTTTTCACACTGGGGGCCCGGCCTGGTAGCGCAGCAGTTAAGGGCTCACGTTCTGCTTCAGCGGCCTGGGGTTCGCGGGTTCAGATCCCCGTTGTGGACATGGCACCATTTGGCAAGCCATGCTGTGGTAGGCGTTCACTATTACAACCAAAAACCACAGCAAATAACCTTGTATATTCTCTGTTTGCACATGTCCAAGACCACAAGTAATGCCTAGAGGGAAATCGCTGGGTATGTGCATTCTAAATTTTAGTAGTTACTGCTAAGTTGTCCTCCAAAGAGTTTGATTCATTCATTCATTCATTCATTCAGTATATGTACTTAATCAGCAACTACTACATGCTCAGCCTGTGTGTGTGCACAGCAAAGTCCTTGCCTTTACAAGGTTTACAGTCTAGTTGGAGTGGAGAGACAAACATAGATGCGTAAGATAATGTCATGATAAGTGTCCGGAATTAAAAACAGGGTAAAAAGAGAATGATGGAGGGGATGGGAGTCACTGTTTTCAACAGGGTGTTCAGAGAAGGCCTCACTGAAGATGTGACACTGGAGCAAAAGCCTGAAGGAGGAAAGCAAAACTTGATGTGCATTTCAGGGGTAGTGGAGAAAGGTGAGTGCATAGGCCCCCAGGAGTGTGGAGTGTGCTTGGCATATTTGAGGAAAAGCTAGAAGGTCAATGTGGCTAATAGAGATTGAGCAAGAGGAAAATGGTGGGAGATGAAGTTGGAGTGTATTTTACTTGCAAAGTACTTACCATGAAGGTTGTACCCACTTAAACCATCAGCAGTACATGAGAGTGCCTGTTTCCCCACATACTCATCAACAGAGGGTGTTAGCAAACTTGTTGATTTTTGCCAATTTTATAATTTAAAAATGCTGTGTTACAGTTTAAATTTGCATTTCTTTTATTATGAGTGAGACTGAGTATCTTTGTACATTTAAGAGCGATTTTTTAATGAAATAACTGTTACGTCCTTTTTCTGTTGGGTTACTGGTCTTTTTACTGATTTGTAGAAAGTTTTTTATTAAGGAAAATAGTGTTTGGTCTATATATGAGTTGCAGATGTTTCCACCTTGTCATTTGTTTATTTACTTTGTTGATGATATTTTTTCCAGGCAGTTTTTTTCAAGTCAAATTGATCAATCTTTTTCCCTCCGCCTCTGCATTTGGTATCAGAGAGAGAGAGGCATTCCTCACTCCAAGATTTTTTTTTAATCCCATGATTTTTTCTGGGAATTTATTTTGGTATGAGATGTGAGATATAAATCCAACGTTACTCTTTTCCAGATGCCCATCCAACTGTCCCAAAACCACTATCTGTTGAATTACCTATCTTTTCCCCCATTGATTTGAAATGCATATACCAAGTTCCGACATGTATCAAATAGTTACCTTTTGATTATGTTAATATCATCTGCAGCACACTTCCCAATCCATGTGTTTTTGAGGTGTACCGAGCACATCTCGTGTGTTCACTAAATTAAGAGCTATAGAAAGATACAAAATGGGCCATAAATTTATGTTAACAGAGTTTAGCCAAAGCAACAAAATTAGCATATATGAGATGGATATATGTAATTGGAGCAGAAGGGGAGATCACGGAAGCTGAGCAGTTGTGGGTTTTTTCCCCCATGTATCTTGTCCAAAGCTAATTCTGCTGATCTCTTTTAAGTTTTTTTCCATTATAAAATTAATACATATTTAATATTCATAATTTTTAAAATTTAGACAAATACCAGAGTGTAAAAGTGAAATGGGAAATTCTCCCCTTCTTCTCTCTATTCCCAGTCCACAGAGAAATTGGCTTCCCTAGAGGACTCTGGATCCCATCTTGGGACCTCGCTTTATCAACGATTCATCTCTTTCTATGCCCCTGTCTTTCTCATTTTCAAGCTTCATTCTTTGCTGCCTCATTCTCTGTAGTCTATAAACATATGTAAGACCCTGCCATATTAAAACAAGAAAACACTTGACATCTCCTTGTCTTTCTTTTCTTTTCTTTTCTTTGAAGATTGACACCTGAGCTAACAACTGTTGCCAACCTGCTTTTTTTTTCTCCCCAAATCCCCCCAGTACATAGTTGTATATTTTAGTTGCGGGTCCTTCTAGTTGTGGCATGTGGGACACTGCCTCAGCGTGGCCTAATGAGCAGTGCCATGTCCTCACCCAGGATCCAAACCCTGGGCTGCTGAAGCGGAGTGTGCGAACTTAACCAGTCGGCCATGGGGCCGGCCCCTTGTGTCTTTCTTTTCCTAATACAGTATCCAGCCAAATTTTATTTTATTTTATTTTTTTTGAGGAAGATCAACTCTGAGCTAACGTGACAATCCTCCTCTTTTTGCTGAGGAAGACTGGCCCTGAGCTAACATCCGTGCCCATCTTCCTCTACTTAATATGTGGGACTCCTACCACAGCATGGCTTGATGAGCGGTGCCATGTCTGCACCCAGGATCCAAACTGGCGAACCCCGGGCCGCCAAAGCAGAATGTGTGCACTTAACCGCTGCACCACCGGGCTGGTACCCGTAGCCAAATTTTAGCTCATCTAGTTGTTGGCTAAATCTAGCCCTCCCCACCCCTCACTCACCTAATCTTTAGAGCAGATCTGGTTCTAGTCCAATTCTAGAGATGCATGCTCAGCCTATGAAGCTCAAGACTTCATCAGCTGCCTGAAAGTTCAGTTCAGCCCTGGATTATCCTCAGTCTGTTGGATTGCTAAGAGTCTCTGCTTCATTGAGAGGTGTAGGCTTGTTCTCACGTGAGCCTGGAAATGCAATTCAGTTTAGACCTTTCAGGTACTGTACACTTAACCCAAGATTGTATACGAATCCCTGAGTCAGCCTAAGAGTTGACCTAAAGGGTCTTTTCCATTTATCAATTAAGCAAGGATGTATCAAGCACCCTCTATATCATGGTCCTGGGAGTGGTCACCTTAAACAATATGTCCTGACAGGTTCACCAGATATGCCTCCCTCGTACTTTTGCAATTATTTTATTCGAGTTTTTTGTAATTATTTAATCGCCTCCCTAATATTTTGACAAAAGTAGTGGATGAAAATTGAGAAGAGGCCATTGGATTTTGCAACTAGTTCTCTTAATATTCAAGAATGAAGTTTGAAGGGAGTGATTAGGATAGAAATTGGGGGAAAAGGAAACAGAGGATAATAGACCTAAATGAAAAAGCTAAAACTATACAACTTTTAGAAGAAAATAAAGGGGAAAATCTTCATGACCTTGGTACCTTAGTTAGCTTGGGCTGCTATAACAAAATACCATAAACTGGGTGGCTTACAAACAACCAAAATTTACTTCTCATTGTTCTGGAGACTAGAAGTCCGAGATTGGGGTGCCAGCCTAGGGGGTTTCTGGTGGGAACCCTCTTCCAGGTTGCAGACTATCGACTTCTTGTAGTATCCTCACATAGTGGAGAGCAGAGCCCAGCAAGCAAGCTCTCTGTGATTCTTTAAGTGCATGAGAGCTCCACCCTGATTACCTCCCAAAGGCCCCACCCCCTAATACCATCACATTGAGGAGTAGGGTTTCAACATACAAATTTGGGAGGACATAAACATTCAGTCCATAACACTTGGGTTAGACAAAGAGGTCTTAGAATTGTCACCAAAAGCATGATCTAGTAAAGAAAGAAATTGATATATTGGACTTAATTAAAATTTTAAAATTTTGCACTCCAAAGACAACATTGAGAACATAAAAAGACAGGACACAGACTGAGAGAGAATATCTGCAGATCATCTATTGGAAAAAGGAGTTGTATCCAACATATATAAAGAACATTTACAACTCAGTAATACGAAGAGAAAGAACCCAATTTAAAAGTGAGCAAAAGATTTGCAAAGACATTTCATCAAAGAAGATATGCAAATGATTAATAAGCACATGGGGAGATGCTCAACATCATCAGCCATTAGGGAAATGCAAATTAAAACTACAATGAGATACCACTTCACACCCACTAGAATGTCTGTAATTAAAAAAGCTAATATGTGTTAGTGAGGATGTGGAGAAATTGGAACCCTCATACATTGCTGATGAGAGTGTAAAATGGTACAGCCACTTTAGAAAACAGTTTAGCAGTTTCTTAAAAAGTTACACAAAAAGTTACTATAGTACCCAGCAATTCCACCTCTAGGAATATAAACAAGAAAAATGAAAATGTATGTCCACCCAAAGACTTGTACTTGAATGTTCATAACAGCATTATTCATAATAGCCTAAAAGTGGAAACACTCCAAATATCCATCAATTGGTGAGTGGAGAAACAAAATGTGTAATATGCATACAGTAAGATACTATTCAGCAATAAAACATTATGCTAAGTGAGAGAAGCCAGACACAAAGGACTATATATCAGATGAGCCATTTGTATGAAATAGCCAAAAAAGGCAACTCTATAGAGACAGAAAGCAGATTAGTGGTTGCCTGGGGCTGAGGCTGAGGAATAGGAATTGACTGCAAATGGCCAGCAGAGACATTTTAGAGGTGATGAAAACACTTTAAAACTGGATTGTGTGCTGTTTGCACAATTCTGTAAATTCACTAAAAATCATTGATTTGTGCACTTAAAAACAGGTGAATTTTATGGTATGTATATTTTAGGGTATATAAGTTATACCTCAATAAAACTGTTTAAAAAAATGGGAAACAGAATAGAATCACTATCTACAGATCATTTGTTCTAAGAATGAACAAGAAGGGTCAAAGATACATGTAAAACCTCTGAACCCACATAGAGATGGAGATTTAAAAAGGTTGGAGAAGGGACTGAATAAATGCATTCATTCAATAGACAGTTTTTTAAACCACATTTCTTTTTCTGAGAAAGACTCACCCTGGGCTAACATCTGTTGCCAATCTCCCCCTCTTTTTTTTTGCTTCCCTCCCCAAAATCCCAGTACATAGTTGTATATTCTAGTTGTATGTCCTTCTAGTTCTTCTATTTGAGCTGCCACCACAGCTTGGCTACCGACAAACGAGTGGTGTGGTTCTGCGACTGGGACCTGAACCTGGGCTGCCACAGCAGACAGTGCCAAACTTTAACCACCAGCCCATCAGGCTGGCTCAATAAATACTTTTTGAGTATCTACTCTGTGGAAGCTCCCCAGGACATCTGAAAAGGGACAGCTTGAAAGAAGAGAGAACAAGAGAGAAGGCTGATAGAAGCCCATTATGATGCCAGGAGCAGGTTGAGGTTTATGATTTCAGTCCTCTCCCTAATGAACCAGGCAGAGCCATCTGGTCATAGTGTGACTGAAGAGGAGTTAGGGGAGAGAGTGAGGAGACAGGGTGGAAATGAGAAGTGAGCAGAAGGACCGTTGTTCGGATGAAAGGGGAAGGCTGGATGTGTTCAACACAGATGGAGAAAGTAGACTGTGGGGGTCAAAGGAAAATCTACAATCTAGGAGTACAAACTAAAAAGGATCCCCCCATCCTTACCTCCTCTCCCCAAAAAACAAACTAACAAAAGAACTTCCCGTGGTCAAATTAACAATCAGCCTTCAAGCTAAAAAATTTCAGCTTTTATGGCTATAAAATCCTTCTCTCAATGGTTCACCATTTCACACTATAGCAGATACTATTGATTACCTACACAGCATCCTTTTCCTCGTCTTCATTGCCTGCAGAAGTCCAATATTGTTTGTTCAGGTATAACCCCTCGCACCTAAGTCTCAGATCCAGAGGCAAATCCTGATTGATCTCAATAAATCCCAGTCATCTCATTTTGTTGTCTATAATTGGTTTAGAGATGGGCACGCTACCCAGTTCTAGCCAATGAGACATGAAGGCGGATCTACAAGAACTTGTGAAAAACGTGCTCTCAATTTGTTGGAGAAAAGAAAAGTCCCCTCTGTTTCTCTGGACATGGTTGTATCTGCATGTGACACCTGAAAATACCGCAGTAATTTTGTGGCCAGCCTGAGGAGGATGCTAAACATTAACGAGGGCAGAACAAAGAGACTCACAGGGAGATGAAGCCAGAGCCCTGGCATACTGCACCTGGAGCCTGCCCTACCTTTGGACATTTTGTTATATGAAATAATAAATTTCCCCATTTTTAAAGCCAATTTAAATTCATGTTTTTCTGTTTTCACAGCCAAAATACTTGTGACTGTTAACAAAGGAACAAGCCTCTTCCGCTGGCTTCTTCCATTTCTGGACCCAATATGGACTATCTGTGTTTCAAGGATAGGCCCAGTGTCCTCTGGGAAGAGACTGATACAGTGGACAGAGCAAAGCGTAAGGGACTGAGGAAGCCAGGCAGCCGGCAAAGGCAACACAGAGCAGTGAATCGTGGAATCTAAGCCTCCACGGAGTCCCGTGGAGCCAGGAGGAAACTGAGTCAAATGGGAGGGGCTGAGCAATGACAGTACTAGAAAGGGTGGCAGCAGAGGGCGGGTCTGGCAAGTTGTGACAGGTGAGCTTGGGAGAAAACAGATAAAGTAGTTGGGTCAGAGAAGGGAAATGCTGAGTTAAGAGATCTCAGAAGTTTAGCAAGTCCTGGCAGTGATGAGTTCCAGCATCTGAACTTTGCAGATCAAGACTGATAGAGAAGTCATAAAATGAAAAAAGTTATGGAGTCTCGCAAAATTAAGGAGTCTGGAGGAACAATAGCTCAGATGATGAAAGATCCTGGGAACACTGATGAGGGGCAAAGAGGAGAGGAAAATCAGCCAGATCCTGAAGTCGCTTTAGGTATATGATGCTTACTATGGCTTTGGGCAACTGCATCACTAATTTGAAGAACAAAATGTAAAAGGATGAAATTAATAGTAAATGTTTAGAAAGAGGGAGAGGAAAAGTACAGAGGAGAAAAGTGATAAAAGATTAGAGGGTTTGATTTTTTTTTCAAAAAAATCAGAAAAAACTTCCTATATGTGCTCCACCAAAAGCGGAAAAAAAACAAACAAAAAGTTGACAGTACGTGTTCAAGACAGGCAGGGTATTCTTTAAATTGC